CAACCACCACCACCATTTGACTCCTCGCATCCTCCCCTACAAAACCCCTAACTTCCCAGACACGACAGCTCATCGTTTGCCATCCACCACTTCACCAAAAAAGGTCGATGAACACGAACTCTCAGCTTGCGAATGACAACTAAACGGTTGTTGGGGACATAGGGGTTTTATAGAGTTGGAGACGCTGGTTGCAGTGGTGGTGTTCAATTGGATTTTTGCCGCCATAATCAACTGGAATCCGACGAAGAATAGAAAAACCCTAAGCCTAACGACGCTAGCAATTGGAAGGACCAATGAGTCGGGAACCCAAAGAGGTTTTGGATGAAAAACTACGGGGAAGGTGATGGAGGTGACCAAGGGGTTCGACGCCGTCGGAAATAGCCCAGATCGAGCAAAAATCGAGAGGGTGTGCAGTGATCGAGGGTGTTATTGAGATAATTTGAAAATAAAATGGTAAGGTATAATTCTATAAATTTAGGGGTTAAAACGTAATTTATTAATTTATGGTTAAGAGTATTATAATAATTGTACCCTCTATACCCCTAAAAATTGCTAACAGTATTATTTTAAGGGTGAGAATTTGAAATAAACGTAACTTGGACTATCAACTTAGGATTTCGTCAAACCTTGGGTGGGAATAGTTGATTACTCTTTAAACCAGTGACACATTCTAAATGCTTGAAAAATAATTGAATCATGATTAGTGGAAAGAAAAAATAAATTATAATGTATTTACATTAAAAATAATATTTCTTATAAGCACGTGATAGTTCATGAATTAAAAATTTTCGAATATAAATAATTTATATTTAAGAGAAAAAATGAATATTCAAGAATATTTTGGATAATATTCAACAAACTTTGAAAAAAATTATAAAATTCTATTTGAATTTGAGACTTTAAGTTCTTTGTCTTAGAATTAAAATTCTATCTGAATTAGATTTATTTTTTGCAAACAGAAAAAGAATAAAAATTGAAAACGTCACATCACATCACATCACATATTATATTATTTAGTATCATCATATTATTTACCAGAGATAGAACTCAGTAGCGGATCCAGAAATTCTTTTAGGGTGGGCCAAAATAAAATTTATTATACATTACTATTTTTATCCATTAATATTTTTTTTAGGGTGGGCCAAAATATATAAATTTACATATTAATATTAAAAAAATATATTTGAATTTAAAGGCTAGATACCCTTGTTTCCTTTTGTTCCCTTTTGTTTAGTGCAGTCCCAAGTTCCTGAATCTAAAGAGGAGTCCCTTTTAGGTTGTATTTTTTATTCTTGAATTAAAATACTGTATTTACCTAAAAAAAAAATATGTTTCAAACTAAAATATCTTATTTATGTATTCCAAAATTAAATTAATACTTTTGATTTATTTAATTGTTTTTGCATTGCCATTTACTAAAAATGAAAAAGGATAAAACATGAATTTACCAAATTGGGACCCTTGACTTGAGTCCAATTAGGGCAAAAAAATCTATCAGATTTTGATTCCAAAATCCAAAGTAAGAGTCAGAGATGACATGGCACGCGGACCGAGTAAGACTGTAATTTGCTGGATACGGTAGCGGTATTTCTGTAATTTAGTATGTAATCTCAACACGGTGGTCTTGTAATCATCATCAAAACGTGTCACCAAAGAGAGTAACGTAAGACACGTGGTTTTTAGGCACGGAAACGTATATTGCCGAGGCAAAATGCCTAAATGTGACAAAAAAAAGAGACAAAACGGGTACTTTACTGGTGTTGATTGCAATTTCCTCCTCAACGTTTGATAAACCCTGACAAACCCAAAGAGTTTCGAATACTAACAAATAGTTCCCAAAAATTAATTTCTTTATTATAATACCTTCTCTCTATCTATAAATCCTTAATTTAATTTAATTACATACTAAAAAAATGAATAGAGTAAAATAAAATTGGAGAGTGAAGTGTATAATAAGATAAGAAAATACTAAAATCTTTTTGAAACAAAGTTTCAAATTCTTTTTCAGTTTTGATTTTTTGATTTTTTATATATTTATAATAAAATTTGAAAAGAAATAAAAAATTAAAAAAAATATATAACTAGAGTGAGGGTCTTATAATTTTTTTTATGACAAAATAATCAATTTTTGTTTTTGGTGATCGGAGATGTCCCGATTAGTTTGCACACATCTCAACTAATCTCTTAGGATCCTGAAATAAATAGTCGAGTAAATCTCCTCAGTTGTCACCTCTATTAGTATTTAGGGGGACTCGAATTCAAGAACCCATGTTGAACTCTTTTGCTATTTTACCATTAGACCACTTAATAGTGATTTTAGATGTATTTGCTACTATCCAATCTTTTGGGTGCTTTGTAATTTTCTCAAACCTTGAGGAGGAAATTGAACTCTATCTTGGAAATGTAATTGGTAATCATCTTGGAGTTATGATTTTCATTTAAATAAGAGTAAACGACATATTCCCACCTAAGGTTTTACGAAATTCCAAGTGGTACACTTGATTATATTTATTCTAGATTCTTACCCTTAAAATGATGAAAAAGGGTTTGTTGTAACGGTAAAGGGGTAAACTAGTCATTTTGCATGGACGGCGCATGTTAGCATATCGCCGCCTCTAACAGTCCTTTAGTGCTCGTTAGCAAACGGCGTCTCTGATATTTTTCGCCCTTTTTTCGGCGATTCTTCCACCCAAAATCTTCTTTGTCACCACTATTTAAACCCCCATCCTCCCCTCTACCAAACCTTACCCTTCACAACCCCTCATCACTCGTCGATCGCCGACCACGTCAACCACAACATGGGACTGGTTTTTGTCGGTTTCCGACCGTTTTGAACGACAACAACCCTAACCACCACCACTATTTGACTCCTCGCATCCTCCCCTACAAAACCCTTAACTTCCCAGCCACGACAGCTCATCGTTTGCCGTCCACCACTTCATCAAAAAATGGTCGATGAACACGAACTCTCAACCCGCGAATGACAACTAAATGGTTGCTAGGGATATAGGGGTTTTATAGAGTTGGAGACGCTGGTTGCAGTGGTGGTGTCCAATTGGATTTTTGTCGCCATAATCGACCGGAATTCGGCGAAGAATAGAAAAACCCTAAGCCTAACGACACCAGCAATTGGAGGGCCAATGAGTTGGGAACTAAAGGGGTTTTGGACGAAAAACTACGGGGAAGGTGATGGAGGTGACCAGGGGGTTCGACGCCGTCAGAAACAGCCCATATCAGGCAAAAATCGAGAGAGCGTGCAGTGACCAAGGGTGTTATTGAGATAATTTAAAAAAAATGGTAAGGTTATAATTCTATTAATTTAGGGGTTAAAACGTAATTTATTAATTTAGAGTTAAGGGTATTATGGTAATTATATCCTTTATACCCCTAAAAATTGCTAACAGTGTTATTTTAAGGGTGGAAAATTGAAATAAATATAACTTGGACTATTAACTTAGGATTTCTTCAAACTTTGGGTGGAAATAGTGATTTACTCATTAAACTAATAACACATTCTAAATGCTTGAAAAATAATTGAATCATGATTAGTGGAAAGAAAAAATAAATTATAATGTATTTACATTAAAAATAATGGGTGCGTTTGGTGTAGTATTTTGGATAGGATTTTGAGGATAGTATTAGATTGTTGGATAGGGGAGTATTACGAGGTAAATTTGAAAAATTTATGAAAAAGCCCTTAGGTTTACTAATTTAATTAAAGACCCTATTATATAAAATGACAAAAACACCCCCACCACCTGCAGTGTCAGATTCTGGCCACCACCGCCAGAATCTGGCCGGAAAATTTCGTTACGGCACAAACCGATCGGATCTGTGCCGTAACGCATCATTATGACCTTTTCCGGCCAGATCCACCACGGATCTGGCCGAAAAGGCCAGATCTACGGCCTGTTATGGCTGTCGACGGCCGGAAAGGCCAAAACGACGGCCATCTTTGGCCGTCAGCGACAGCCAAAGATGTGGCCGTCGTTTTCGGTCAACGACGGCCAAGATTTGGCCATCGCTGATGGCCAGATCGGTGTAATTCCGGCCATTTATGGTCAGAATTTAGGCCGTTGTACAGATTCCGGCTATCACCGACGGTGGTTGCCGGAATCTGACAAGTTGGGTTGATGGGAGGGTTTTCGTTAATTTTTAAAAAAAAAAATTAGGGGGCATTTAGTGAAATTAATAACCTTATGGGGTCTAAAAGAATTAAAAAAATAGGGTAATATTTCTGGAATAGTATGCCAAACATTATTTGGAGAATAGGATTGGGAATATGGATAAAAATAGGGAGCCAAACGCACCCAATATTTCTTATAAGCTACGTGATAGTTCATGAATTAAATTTTTTCGAATATAAATAATTTATATTTAAGAGAAAAAATGAATATTCAAGAATATTTTGGATAATATTCAACAAACTTTGAAAAAAATTATAAAATTCTATTTGAATTTGAGACTTTAAGTTCTCTGTCTTAGAATTAAAATTCTATCTGAATTAGATTTATTTTTTGCAAATAGAAAAAGAATAAAAATTGAAAACGTCACATCACATCACATCATATATTATATTATTTAGTATCATCATATTATTTATATGAATAATACTACACATACATCATTCCTATATAATATTTTTCATACAATATTATGTAACAAAATATGATTGGGTGAAAGTTTAATTTTAACTTTAAATTAGCTAATCATATCTTGTCACATAATATTGTATGAAAAATATTGTATAAAAATAATGTATGTGTAGTATTACTCTATTTATATATTCCTTATAAAAATCGAAAATATTTTAATTATTTTATAATAAATATATATTAAAAAGGAAAAAAAAAACAAATTCAGGCACTAAAAAAAGAGAATAATCAGAAAAACGACCTTAATTTGTGACTTGGACAAGAAAAACGGTTTGGTTGCGGCTTTTACTGTTTGTAGAAATTTACCAATTTAATTTAATTAAAATTTAAAACTTTCCGAAATTTTCTACTTACCTGACCTCAAATATCTCTCTCTCCCTCTCTCCCTCTCTCTCTTCCAATTTGGAACGAGTTTTTGCTGTTAAGAGCTACCCAGAGATCTACTTCCCTTTTTATCCGTGTTTTCATCCCTATATTTCTACTTGAGGTTGAGGGCCCTTACTCAAAAGGGTCTTCTGCTCTGTCTTTTATTTCTTCTTCTCCTGGTAAAGAAATCTTTCATTTCTTTGCTTTTTTTTTTTTTTGGGTATAGTATCTTAATGGATCTTTTATAGGTTATTTTGTTTTTCCATTGATCTTGTTCGTTTTACTTTTCAGTCATTTCAATAGCATTTTGTTTTCATATTTCGTTTTGATCGCTACTATGTTTGACCTTTTTGGATTTGTTACTGCATGTTTCGTTTCTTGATGTGTAAAGGTCTGATCTTGTAGTTAAATGAAGTTGTTTTGTTTTATGTTTCTATATTGATCAATTGAATGCTTTTGTAATTCGTCATCTTATGTGATCTTTTATATGATTTTTTTGTTAATTTGTTTGGATACACTTATCTTCTTTGGCCGTTTGGATTTGGATGATCGGTGAGGGTTTTTCTATAATAATTTTATAGATAAGATTATAGATTAGAAGATCCGTGTTAAAGAATTATAGATCTTTGTCTCATTTTATTTTCTTTAATTTGCTGTGAAATTCTTGAGTTTTTTCTCAATGGTTTCTTCTAACTGTATTCTTATTAATCTGTTTGATTTAATTATTAATTATATTTGTTAAAGAAATTGGGTTTGATTGTTTTGCTCATGTTGCTAATGGGTAGTTTCTGTTTGGCATTTCAGATTTTGTAAGGCTGTCATTTGTTGAAAATAATGGGTGTTGAGGTTGCTGAGATGGCCCAAGTACCTGTGGAGACTGTAACTGAAGTGCACAAGTCTAAGGAAAATGAGAAACTTGATCAGGGTCCAGGGAATAAGGAACCGCTTACATTCGGTACCCATATAGAAGAGCCTGTTAAAGGGGAAGATAATAATGTATCAAAGGCCAATTTACCGCAGGATGCGGTTGACGAGTGGCCTGCGGCTATGCAGGTCCATTCTTTTTGGTTGGTCAGGTACAGGACTTATGATGATCCAAAAATAAAGGTGAAAATCGACCAGGCTGATAAAGAGATTCAAAAGAGGAATAAAGCTCGGTCTCAGATCTTGGATGAATTGAAAATAAAGAGGGTGAGTTTTAACTCTGAGTTTATTGTTATTTGATATATCATGATATATAGTTGGTGAAATGTCAGCTATAACAATATCATTTTATAGTTAAATTCCTATAGTTTAAGAGTCTTATTTAATGCTGTCCTGTTGGCACGTCTCCGAAATCCTAACACGTGTAATATCGGCTAGAATATCATGAAGCTGGTGTATCAATCAGATAAGGAAGTGTCTTACAATAAAATAAATTAGATGATCATGTCCATAAATGGAGCAGTCATTGACAATCTACAACTTTTAAATTACGTGGTACATAAAGGTGAGCTATTTAGGTATTTAGTTGATAGGTATTCATATTAGCGAATCAAAGTTCCAAAGTTTCGTTCATTCTTTCTTCCGCTTTACATTTTTGTACAAATATGCACATATCTTTGTTTCATTGCTCAACATTTTGAGAAATATCACCAAATTAACCCCTTTTCTGGAAGGTTGGAAAACCTTTTAGATGCTTGAAATTCGGATGTTAAACAATAAAGGCTGGTTTTTTGTGATACAAAAGTCAGTTGAAGTGAAGGTTTTTTTTATTTTTATTTTTAAATATGTTGAATGTTATGTACTGGCATAACACTCAGTTACTCGGGTATGTTCAACCAAGTTCTATATAATCCTCAGATAAAGATGTAACTGAATAACGTTTCTAATTTAACCCCACCTTAAAAAGTAAATTTTTTTTGATATTGTTTGTTTTCTTCTGTTTCTAGGCAGATCGAGCTGAGTTATTAACTCAGCTGAAGGTTTTGAAATCTGAGGGTAGGCAGGTTAAGTCACTTATGGATGAGAAGAAAAAAGAACTGGAACCTCTGCAGCAGGCTCTTGGAAAGCTGCGACCTTCAAACAATGGTGGTCGTTCTGGTGGTATATGTTCATCTGAGGAGGAGCTGAATGATCTTGTATGATTTACTGCAAATATTAATCATTTTTTCTGTAGTGACTCCTTGTCTTTCTCTGACTGAGGATTGGTGAATGCAGATCCATAGCTTGCAATATCACATTCAACATGAGAGCATCCCATTGTCTGAGGAGAAGCAGATCCTTAGAGAAATCAAACAGCTTGAGGGAACAAGGGAAAAAGTTGTGGCTAATGATGCTGTCAAAGCAAAGATTCAGGAGTCATTGGGTCAGAAAGATGTTATTCAAGACCAAGTTAAAGTAAGATGCTACAAGTTGGAGTTGTATGTTTTGCAGCCCACTTCTTTGTTGATTTTATGCTTGGTTAAATACATGTTTTTTTTATAACCAAATATGAACTAATAATTCACCATATTTGTCTCATGGTAGCTTATGGGCGTTGATTTGGATGGAGTGAAGAAGGAGCGACAAGCACTTTTGTCCAAGATCACTCCCCTTGAGGGGAAAGTGAAGGCACTTGAAGAGGACATTAGAGCTTTACAGGAGGATTTGCAAACTGTGACTGAGATGCGGGACAAAGCATTTGCTAGCATTCAGGAACTAAGGAAAAAGCGTGATGAGGGGGTAAATGCATTTTATTTCCATTTCCAGATTTTGTTGCAACAATAAATCTCTCTTTTTTCTTCTCTCTCTATATCTTAGAAAGGGTGGTCGTCTCTTGTGCATTAATGACTTGGTTTGTTTTAGATGAAGTCTCTGCTAATTGTTTCAGAGAGGGTGGTGGTCTCTTGTGCATTAGAGTGACTTGGTTTATTTTAGATGAAGTCTCAGCTATTTGTTTTTTATGCTGCCTTGGTCTTTAATATAATTTAGTCTGGGTCAACTAGATGAGAAAGATGTGTTGTCCCAATAGAGACTTTTAAATATGCTATCCTATTCCGGTGGGTTTTTTCTTCATGCTTTGGTTTCGTGATATTTGAAGCCAAGGCTTGTAGTTGTTTTCCCTGAGCAGGTCCAGAGCAGCTTGTGGTTTGAGGTTTGATTTTCTCTACTTCTTCCTATTAGGTGACCAGAACAGAGACATGGCATATATGTCTGTCTGTGCATGTGCTTGCTTTTGCCCAGGAACTTATATATGTCAGCACTGAAAGATGGTGCAAACATGCTGGTTTTAGTAGGTTGTGCTGAAGCAATAGTTCCTAAAGTTTGCTGTCTCCCAACCATTATTTGGCAGCTAAACTTTCAATGGACTTTTTAATTAATAAGTCAGAAGTTTCGCTAAAAAATTCCTCGTGATAAATGCAAATAATATGTGCTTGATTTTCTTTTTGGTCTTGATGATGACCTAAATTGATATCATCTTGTAATCTATCAAGCTTCCTGATTTGTATAGTACAAGAAGCCTTTAATGAATTTACCCCTATTTTTCAGAATGCCAACTTTTATCAATCTCGTCAAGTCTTGACCAAAGCCAGAGAGCTTGCTGTAAAGAAAGATGTCAAGGCTCTTCAGGAATTTTCAGAAGCACAGGTTTGTTACACCTGCACTTGTCTTTTCTCTTCAATATCGCACAGCTAAAAATTCTCTGTTGTCTTATCATTGCTATTATTATTTGTTTATTAGGTTGAGAAATTTATGAGCCTGTGGAACAGCAACAAAGCTGTGAGGGATGATTATGAGAAAAGAATTTTACCATCATTGGACAGTCGACAATTGAGCAGGGATGGACGGATCAGGAACCCAGATGAAAAGCCCTTGGTGCTAGTGGAGACTCCAGCACCGGAGCCTGAGACTGTGACAAAAGCTAATGTAAAACGAGCAAAGGAAGATGCCAAATCTACCCCAAAACAAGATGCTTTGCCTACACAGAAGCTTCAGAAAGAAGCTGGTGGCAAAGCAACTGAATCAAAACCCCCTGTGGAGAAAACTGAGACAGTGGACAGGGAGATCTCTGTGCCAGAAAAGCCTTCCCCTGTAAAGGAAGTTGATGAAGCTAAGTTGAAGGAGATAAAAAGAGAAGAGGAGATAGCAAAAGCTAAGCAAGCCATGGAAAGGAAGAAGAGGTTGGCTGAGAAAGCTGCAGTCAAAGCAGCTATAAGAGCGCAAAAGGAGGCTGAAAAGAAGCTCAAGGAAATTATTTATACATTCTCTTGTCGTTACTGTTTCACTGTCTATGTAGATTCAACTTGAAACTAATATGACTATTCTATAATTCATTTCAGGAGCGTGAAAAGAAAGCGAAGAAGAAGGCTGCAGCATCCGGACCTGGTGCTGACGAGGATTCAGCTGACGCTGTCACAGAACCTGAAGAACAGGAAAAGGCTGATGTGAATGAAGAAGCTCCAGTTCTGGCAAAATCGAAGGTTCATAAGGAGAAAACTATGAAGCATAGGACTCGATCAAGGGGTCCGGAATCACTTCCAAAAGCCATCTTAAAGCGCAAGAAGTCTACCAACTACTGGGTATGGGCTGCACCTGCAGCTGTGGCAGTTTTGTTGGTTCTGGCAGCTGTGGTATACTACTATTATCTTCAGTGAAGATGTGAAACTAGAAAATGAGTAGATGAGTTATTGACAATTTTCTGCTTCATGGTGAGTTTACTAGGGGGTTTGTAGAAGAGGCAAAAAAGACACAAAACATTCAAGTTAATTTTGTTCTTTGCATCCTGTCTGGGGATGGACTCAAAACTCATAATGTTGTTGCACAATCAGTCTGAAATGTTTTACCAATGGGGGAAACTTTTATACCTTTGGTTTGATGTATTTTCAAATTTTGACTTTAAGCAAATGCATGAATGTTACTTGCAACCTTCTCTTTGCAGATACAATTTATATCTATGTAGCCAGTTTATCCATGACTATGTATGTATTTGATATTATGGTCGTATGAAATTCTACAAAATTTATAAAATATTGCTTCAATAACATCTCTCAGTTATACAATAACAAAATGAAGGTAGTGAATCATTTCTGGATTAACCCCAAGTGGTTAAACAAGTTTATTTTCTTTTCGTTAAGTAAGATGTTTTTTTCTGTCTAAGTTTTTGGTTTAAACTTTGACGTCATTTATCACAATATTGGTTATCTGGTCCTTTAAGTAGTAGGGTATTCATCTTGTGCGTTTAAACTGACTTGAATACTCTATTATCATAAAAAAAAAAAAAAAATATTTGAATTTCGGAAATGCAAATGCAAATACAAATTGAGCAAATAATTTTGATACGAGCACTCAATTACCATAAAAAAAAAAAAAATCTGAATTTTGGAAATGCAAATACAAATTGAGCAAATAATTTTTAATAGAAGTGAGCAACTGAGCATATAATTATAATAATAAGAAATGAGAATATTGATTCACTTTAGTATAAAAAAAAAAAAAAAAAGAATCTGAAAACTGGGGGAAGTTCATGAATTTGTTCAGATTCTAGTTAAAAATTAGATTTCTGTTTAAAGAAAATCATTAAATTTGTTAGAAACTAAAAAATATCGAGGGTCGTTTACTCTTGAAAATTTTCAGAAATCTCAGGTAATATTATAAAACATTCTTAAATAAAATTCTTTAAAATTTATTGATTATCTTATAATCAGCCCGAGTTGTAAACGCAAAAATTTATCTAAGGCTTTGTCGTCTCCGGCGCCTGCAACTGGAAATGAGCGCAGTACGCACACTAGCCATGGCTGCCAACGGCTTCACTGCTAGAAGAGCATTTCAAGCTTTTTCTTTCTCTCATCCTCTTCACACCTTCTCTTTTCACCCAACTTCTACTTCTCTCACTTTCATCTCTTCACTCAAACAACACTCACCAGGTAAATTATACAGACCCAATTGGCTTAATTGCTGACATGCGTCATCTATTGAGCTTTATGATTCAGCAAAGCGTTAAACTTAGTGAAGAAGGAAAAAAAAAAAAAAAAAAATTTGTATTTTTTTATTGTTCGTGTAGAAAAGAAAGAATTTTGATTTTATTTTGTTGAATTGCTATTCTCTTTGTTCAGGAATATGTCACCTTGCTCAAGCTATAAAGGGTGATGTGGATGATTTAGTTAAGGGTGTTGGAGATAAAAGTTCCATTGAGGAAGTGAAGTATATTCTTGAAATGGTAAGAAGGAAATTTTTAAGAACTTTGACTTCATTGAGCTGGAAATGATTAAGGCCTTTTTGTGAGTTAGTAAGAATTTGTTAGTGTGTGTGTGTGTTTTGTTGTTTGTTTTAGGCGAAACGGGCGTCCTTACGAAGAGGAGTTCTACACACGGATTTTGTTACCCCTCCAATATTGAAGGAATCAATGATAGTGTTGGAAAAATTAGCTGATGTTAAAGCAGTTGCTCAGGGAGGATACCCTCAGGTTCGATAAATTTTGGCTGTGAATAAGTCTTCAAATGAATTGAGTATTTGATTGTTTCAAATGAAAAAAGTGCATTTCATTTGAAATATTTATGAGAGTGTGAAATTATTGGAATTCAATTGTAAGATGGTTTAACAATTAAGGATCAAATGCACTTAAATTTTGGTTTCACATTTAGCATTCCCATGAACTTGAGGTTCACATGATTATTTCCTTATGTTAACCTATACCGGGGAGAATATTAGAAAGTGTGTTGAACTTTGAAGTGAAAGTATCTCATCTCAAGAGTGGGACGGCAAGGCATCACAGGGTAGGTTTCTGTAGAAAACTTTGGGGTGGTTTCACACTTCATTTTCTCAGTGAAACAAATATAACTGTGAACCATGTAATAATGCTGTCTATGGATGATTGCTGTTGTAGTTTGCACAACTTTCATTTGAATGTAATTGCATGTATTCTCTTTCGTAGTCAGATAAATGGTTTATCTGACATTAAGTAGTAGGCATAGAATTGTTTTCTGATTATATGTTAATATACCCTCCCAAATGTCTAGGCCGAGCGATGCCGGATTTCTGTTGGACATCCGGAAGCATTGACAAGTGATCCAGATGTAGTTGCAGCATTGAGGTAAGTTATTTTATTGCCTCGTTTTTCAAACTCTTCTAGCATTTAGGGCATCAGTAATATGAATATTCCATTCTATCGTCTTAAATTTTACTTCTTCATCCAGTATCACAGGAAATTTTGTATTTGAACCTTGTTCTCATGGTGACTTCCTTGGTGCTATTCTGGGCACCGGGATTGCTAGGGAAAAGCTTGGAGATATTATCTTAAAGGTATTATCTACATTTTGTTTCATGTCGCTCACATTAGGCTCTCTTTATTTGACACAGATTGGCTTATAGCGCTAGAAGGCTGTCTTAGTTCCTTCACACAAATCCTTAATTAACCTGGTTCAGATTACATGTTTAACTACCTAAACATCATTTGCACAGTAATGTAGTAGCTATCTGTTTTGAATGCTTGTTATGCAGTTATATACTTGAACATGTGTTTGACATGCTTCTATCATGTTCATCACTTTGAACTTGTCCAATTTATTGTGGACACCTTGCTGGAACCTTGTCAACACGTAATGGGAACTTTTAAATATAAATTTAAAAGATAATTTAATGTTGTGATTAATTATAGTCAACCCCAAAATGTGGGGTAGGGACTTGTTGGGTTGAGTTAATTAATATACTTTTTTATTCTGATTATTGTTCAGGGAGAAAAGGGGGCTCAAATCCTAGTTGTTCCAGAACTCGCTGACTATCTTATATCATCACTGGAGAAGGTGGGAATTACTTTTCATAAATTCTTTCTCTTAAATTACCTCAACCTTTCTTGGTAAACAAAAATTTAAAAATTCCCTTCTTTTCCACTTTTTGGAATTAACTGTAAGGAACATTACTACCACAACTACCCTAGTTTCTGCTTTGCCTCACCACATTAACCATATGTTGGTCATTTTTTATTTGGTTTCTTTGGTCTTACAAGTACATAAATATTTTTTTCACCTCTCAGTTATTTAGTGGCAAAGGGTTAAATGTACTGTGGGGTATGAAATAATGCAATACAGTCTGGCTTCAAAGAAGATATGACTTAGCATGTTGGCAATTTCCCAATGCAAAATAATTATGTTTATAGTACTTATATTGCTGCAGACCACAGTGCTTAAGTGCTTTCAGTGTTGCTGTGTTTCTTTGACCATCTCTAATGCATTTGTCCCCATACAGGTTGGTAACGTTTCAGTCTCTTGTACAAAGATACCATTGCTTGCTCTTGAATATGAACCACCAAGGTTGCAACCATTATTTTGGTAATTTTAATTTCCGTGATACTCTTCATTTGGTATTTTTCAATGACTGTGTGACACCTTCAAATTTACAGGACGAAGTCATTCAAAACCATAGAAGCATCACTGAGGGTTGATGCCCTAGCTAGTGCAGGTTTTAAGATATCACGGTCAAAACTAGTTAATTTGATCAGGTACAACCTACTTTGCTTATACAGAATCTATTCCTGATATTATGTTACTATATTCAATTTTTCATCTCTCTCTGTATGTTCTAATAATTTTCCTTGATATTGGTTTTACTGTTTAAAAAGACGGTTGCCAAGTTCATTGTACATACATCCATAAGCTTGACATTTAACTTTAGGATACTACTACTGTGTGCAGGCTACTCAATTTCAGTTTGGTCCTTCTACTCTGGCTTTTTGGGTTCATCTCTTCTAAAATGAATGATAATGAAAGAGTGTGCATTTTTTTTTTCAATTATTCAAAGCAAAACTTGATTTTTACTCCAGTATCTACAGAATGTGAGAATTAAAAATTAATAATAGTACTTTTGGTTGAAGTCTAAGAGATAGGGAGAGCTTAGGAAAGACATGCTAACTAATGTCTATCTGCATCTTTTACCATTCTTCACATTGAACATAAATTAATGGAGCTGAATTCTTTATTGCACCAGTCATCTCTTTTTGAATCAATACATCTTCGCTTTTGGCTAGATCTTTTCTGTTCATGTAGTTATTTATTCATTTTGTAATAAGTTGTTTTATACATGTCATCCGAGTTTATAGCAATTTGAGTGTAGGAATGCCAAAATGAATCAGTTCTTAATTTCACTGAACTTCATGAATCATGACCCTAAAGTTAAAATGTGAAACGGAAAACTTAACTGAGACATGGCTAAAATTCTCTGTCCTTGGCAGTAGCGGGGATGTGCGAGTCAATTGGACCACCGTTACAAAAAATGGTACTACTCTCAAGACTGGTGATGTTGTCTCAGTTAGTGGCAAAGGAAGACTGAAGGTGAGTTTACAACTTTGATGAAACACCATTCTGGGATCAAATTTCTATATAACTGTATTTTGCTGTTGTCCAGATAGGAGAAATAAACTCCACAAGGAAAGGAAAGTTTGCAGTTGAGCTCATACAGTATTTGTAGGAAGCCTCGGCGCATGTTGTTTCATGATCATCGAGCTGAACCAGTGGCTGTCATCTAGATTACATGTTTCTTCACTCAACATGTTAGAGCGTAATATAAACCAGTGTCGAGCCATTACTTGCCAACTTAGTTATTTTGGGTCAAGTGGTTATTTAACATTGTACAAGAGCATGATTTCTGAGCTTGATTACCCTAATCGTGCCCTATCGCTGTGTAACTTATCTTTTATCTCTTCTTTCTGACCCTTCAAAATCAAGTAATTATCCAACATAGATATGGGTTTTTCTTCTTTGAAGCAGAAACCAGAGGGGGTCTTATGGAAACTCAACCCAGCAGCTGCATAAAGGACTAATGGTAGGGAAGAAAATGGGAAAAACAAGCTGTACCCGGTAAAATGTTGTAATTATTTTATTTTTTTATATTAACAAATTTATCATTTAAACTATACTCTCATCTTTTATTTTATTTTTCGATCCCATTAATTTTGTTCACACAATATGTTAAACCTTCCATTTTGTTTTTGTTTGAACAAATGGACATGTTTTGAACATCAATTAAAGAAAATATTAATTTTTTTTTTTTCTCTTTTGGTGTTTGGATGTATGATGAAACTTTCTTTTCTTTTTGATATAGAACTATTAAAGTAAACAATTTCGTGTATTAGTTAATGCTAAGTGTGTATTAGATGCCTCTAATTATGGTTCAAGTTTAGCTTCTTTTTTTCCCCAATTATTATTAAAAAAATAGAAGATTATTTAGGTCACATCCATATAACTCATTTTGAGACCATCAATTCATTTAAAATTCTAGGGTACCAATTAAAGATCACTTGACATTTCATAATAAAATTATAAAGCATAATTATTGTAGGCTAGAATTCTAATTTGTCTCTGGGATATCCATTTCTCTACGAATTAAATTTAAGGATGTGGAGTGCTACACAAAAGGATTAATGATAGGGTGGAAAAAAAACCAAAAACCAAACCGAATCGAACTGAAACCAAACAAAAAAACTACTTATTCGTAAATGTATACGTTATATCTATAAAAATAGTTGGTAAATGTATTAATGTAACTTATTCTTATTTAATTAATTTTTCCCTTTTTTCAAACTAAGGAAGGATTATGATGAATACATATGATAGAATATGATTCTATCAAGTAAATATAAATAATAATACTAGCCTCACAAACATTTTTCACTAACCCATGTGGCAGCTCGCAATTGGCTTGGTCAGGCAATACCTATGCGAGCTGACCAATTACGAACTGACACGTTGCGTTTGTAAGAAAAAGTTAGTGAGGAGTGTTTGTTAGTGTAGTATTACTCAAATATAAAAGATTAAAGAAACAGAAATATGAATATACTTTTTAAATTTATATTTAATTTCCTCTAATATCTCAATTTTCTTGAAGTAATAAAATAACTCACCAAAATCACTTGAAAGATAAAAAAATGGATAAGAACCCACATAAGTAGTAGAGGCACACAATTATATATGAGATGGACAAACAAAACTTGTATGAAACTTAAAAGAGTTATTAAATTCACAAGATGTGCCTTTTCAATCCATAACCCCTTCACTTCTCATTTTTTCTCCAAACTCAAACTCCATTAATTGCATGGCTTGCATGCACGCCCGATCGAACTTAATTATCTTTACATAACCATCGTCAACTCTTCATAAAATGAATGTAGAGTTATTGATTATCAGATTTAATGATCCAATCTATCTAATTAATTTCATCTGTTTATGAATTCATATCATATCATCATGCATACCCGCAACTTCCATAATCACATTTAACCCCATAAGGGCATTTTTTGTTGCACTTCCCACAATGATTATCATTGTAAACAACACTTATGCAACTTCCATTACAGCAACGCTCTCCGAACTTGCATTTCACCCCACACCGCCCGCAGTTATTCATGTCGCCGAGAACGTTTCGACAATGTGTCTTGCAGCAGTAGAGCAGGCTCGTGCCATTGTTGGCTGAAACACCATTACAGATATTCTTGTACTCAGGATCACAATGTGTTCCTTTCTTTATCATATTGCTCGCCCTCGCCAAGAACCTGCTTCTCGATAGGAAATTCGGAATCGGGTTGTCAAGAACATAAACTTCATCGTCATCTTCAACATCAAATGGAAAGGAAAAAACTAGGTGGGATTGTAAAAATAAGAGGAGAATCAGGGTTAGGGAGAGGAGAGCTGAAGCAATAGAAGTTGCAGCAGCCATGTTAAGCTTAAGAGTGAAAGCTAAGGGAGAAATTTGTGGGTATTTGAAGCTGCAAGGTTTGATAAATTATTGCATGATATCATGGGAAGAGAAGTGAGGTGTTACAATTTTTAATAACACGGCCAAGTTTTATTATTAATTAAATTATTGTATTTACTTTATTGCCTTATTGGTGATCTAGATTCTCGGGTAGACACTAGACAGTAGAGTTTCATCAAATCAAGTTTGAAAATTTCATGGCTTCTTATTTAATTTTGATCAATCATGTACTAGATATACTTAATTAATGGGGTTAACAGAGCTTAGACTCTGATAAATTATAAGATAATAACAACTAATTACATAAGGGAAGAGTTGTTAAATTTGACTTCATTCAGTACATCAAAGCCATGTATAATATTACAATCAGTTGATTAAATTGATCAATGTATATTTAATATTTACGCGTATTTCAACTAATCCTTGAGATCTTAAAACTAGTAAATGAGTAAGAGTTTCAATAGTTACCCGTATTAGCAATAAAAAGGGAACTTAAACTCATTACCTCTTAATAATACATTCACGAGACCATTTTTATATAAATAACCTAGAAGTCAATTAACATAAATTAACAAAATAACAAGCAATTTGCCTAGTGGTGAACCTGCTAATTTCCAACTTGTTTTTAAATTAATTACATTTAGGACAAATACAGAGGAGACCAAGACCAGTAGCACCCCATTTGCTTGAACACGAAGGAGAAGTCTCCTGTTACACGTGTAAAGGATCTTCTTTTCCGGCTCAAAATACGGGCTCATATTTTCCCGCATTGGATCCGGCCTGATGGGTTATGATTGGACACGCGTTCCAATCTCCATGGTTGATCTGAGGACCATCGCACAAATCCATGGAACATTGTTTGACTTTGAACTCCAACCCAGATTACGCGTGTTGACTCAATAATCTCTCTTCGTCTCTGGTTTTTGAGTTACCAGATCATTTCCATGTGCACGTAGCCATTTTTAAGTTTTAACAATATTTTCTTCGTTTTCTTCTGGAAATTAATTGCTTATTGCATGTTCATGCAATGCCTTCACCCCCCTAAAAATACGGAAAATTAAAGAAATATAACATGAAAAAGAATTTAATTTGGAGTTTTCTAATTATATTTATAATTTTAGTGTCAGTGTCAAATCCCGACGTTCAATCAAATAGAAATTGTTCGCTTTAACCTCACGCCCACGGGAATTTGTATATAGGCTTCATGGAAGTGTGAGTGTGACAAACTTAGTTACGTGGATCTTATAAACTCAATCTCGTGTTTATTCTCTAGCAATAATGTGACAAAACTTCCTATCTTATAGATCTTATATCTTTGTAAGATCATTACATTAGTACTATCTGATAGAGAACCTATTTTGATACCATTTGTCAAATCTACTTAGTTATGTGGAGCTTATAAACTCAATTTCATGTTTATTCTCTAGAGATGACGTGATAAGCTTCTCACCTTGTAGATCTTGTATTCTCGTGAGATCCTTACATCCCTATCTGATAGCGAGCCATTTTTGACACCAATTGTCAAATCTCCGTCCATCTGATGGCAATCCCATTTTTATACTAATTGTCAAATTTGGGGTCCAACGTAGAAATTTCCGCTCTAAAGACTTGCACAAATTTGCATTCGGGCTTCATCACAAGTATCATTTACTCAAAACGCGTCTACTTAGTTATGAGAATCTAATGCTTATAAATTGAATCACATGCGCATTCGCTAGCGGTGTGAGAAGATTCATAATTAACACACCAATTATATTGGACTTTACTATTAATCCAAGTGGAAATAATTGTCAGAGCTTAGCCTGGAAGGAAGGCAAAAGAGGCAGAAGACTGCCCAAGGATGCCAATAGAGGGAAGCTTGACAAAGTAGCAGAAATAATGCTGAAGGATGTTATTAAAAGAGAGAACAGAAGACTGTAATTTTGTATATATTTTGTGTATTGTAATGAATACATTAGCCAATTTATATAGTGGCTTTGAATACAATAAAGGCAATGAAATAATACAGTAAAGGAAATATAGTAAAGACTTAATTACAAAATATTACAGTAATCAGTGAAATAAATGCAAATCAATAATTACTTGATTCCAACATGAGTATCTTTAGCATTCCATACTCCCCCTTAAGTTGGTGGTTTGTAGATGTTGAAAACCCCCAAGCTTGTGTAGTAAATAAGAATGTTGGTTGTTCCGAGCAGGGACAGATCTAGAAATTTCTATTAGGGTGGGCCAAATGAAAACTAATTGTACATAATATTCATATTCTGTTTTTCTAGTCAAAAGTGACAAAAAAACAAAAAAAAATTATATTTACTATTGTCCTCGGTGGGGCTTCATATTGAGGAATCGTTGCATGACCATCCCTTTATCAACACTATCTTTCTCAACATATGGACTTAGGCTATCATTCAAGAATTAATCTCCCATCCAATTGCGTAAATGAGTCTTCACAATTTTCATAGTAGAAAATGCCCTTTCTACACTTGCAGTTGCAATTGATAAGGTTAAAGCCAATGTGAAGAGCAAATATACCAATGAGTAAATAAAATGCTTCTTCTTTTCAAACACTTTATAAGCAAGATTGGTAATGTCATTTAGTTCTGAAAAATCATTATCCGAGCACATATCATCAATGTAATTATCAAGTTGAAGTTCAAGTGTCATAAGATCAGTAGAAGAAAATTCCAGTGGATAAAATTGAGCAAAACGAACTAATTTTCTCTTATCAAATGCTTGAAAACAATTACTTGGATTTAGGAAGGCCATGCAAATAGTAATTCTGTATTACCTTCATTAAAACAACTGTTAAGCTCTGATAGTTGCAAATCTATTATGGCATAGAACAACTTGACATGATAATGAAATAAATTTGTCATCTCTTGAACATTACGCCGTGATCTTCCTCATGCAACAAATTTCTCTTCCATATTTGACACATTTATATTATGAGCAATGCAAAAATGAGAAACTTCATCAAGTAGATTATTCCATCCATTATTTCTTATCAACAATAATCTTCTTTTCAACAAGTGAACCAAAGACATAGCATTTATAATATCTTGATCCTTCCTTTGTAATGCTTGTGAAAGTTCAAATGTGATTCACAAAATGCTTTTCATCATGTGCAGGTTAAAAGCAAAATCAAAAGAAGTCATATAATCCACCAAATCACTAGCTTCAACTCTATTATCAGAATTTTCAGTAAGATCCTCAAGCACTTCAATAACAAATGAAAACAAATTAATTAAGCTCAATAAAGTCCCATAATGTGAACCCCGTCGTGTTTCCCCTAGCCGTTTAAGACTAGTATCTTGATTAAGGCCTTGTCTTGTTGAAAGCTTATCATTTTCAATAGTTTTTTTCACCTTCAAAGCTTGTTTCTCATTAAGAAGATCCAGACGTCTAGGTGACCATCCAACAATATTTATCACACAAGAAACTTTCAAAAAAAGTCTCTCAAAATTTGTATCCTTTTTTGCCACAACTACAAGTGCCAATTGAAGTTGGTGAGCAAAACAATGAACATAAAAGGCATATTCATTATCTTTCAATATAAGTGTTTTAACCCATTAAACAGACCTCGCATATTACCCACACCATCATATCCTTGTTCACGTAATCTTGATATGCTCAAATTGTATTTAGAGAACAATGTTTCGATTCCCATCTTTTGTGACAAAGCAGTCGTATCTGTGACATACATAATGCTCAATATACACTCAACAACACATCCTCTTTTATTTACAAAACGTAAGATGATTGCCATTTGCTCTTTGTTGGATCGATCACGAGCTTCATCAACCAATATAGAAAAAAAAAAGCATCTCCAAGATTACTAATTAGTTTTTGATGGTTTCAATTGCAAATGCATTGATTATGTCTTTTTGGATACTAGGAGTAATTAATTTATCATGTCCTGGAGCATTCTCCAATGCTAATAATCTATATTCTTCATTTTGCTTAGTTGTATAGTGTAAAAGTTCAAGGAAGTTTCCCCAATTCATTGAATTACCAGACTCATCATGGCCACGAAAAGGCAATCCTTGTCGAAGAAGAAGCCGACTAGCAGAAGTTGATCCTTTCAACCGAATACAATAATTTTCTCGCTGTAGGTCAAATTTCTTATTAATAATTGTACTCACATCCTGCTTTTTGTTCATCAAAGCTTGACAATTTTTCAAAGCTCGGTTATGATAGCTGTTAGGATCTCCAATATGATATTAAATTTTTTCAAGTCTCTTCTAATTGCGAAACCCATCAAGAACAAAAGAATCACCGCCACTTTGCTCACCTTCATTTGGTTTGAAAAGATAATAACATAAACTATATGCAGCATCATTCTCAACACTATATTCCAACCAATAAGGATATTTGTCAAACCAAGAATGTTGGAAACTCCATTCATGATCACCAGATTTTGATTTGGGAAACTTATGGTTGCGAGGTTGACAAGGAACCTTTTGTAGATAACGCATTCTAACTTGGTCTCGATTATTAAGATGATAAAACGTAATTCTTGGTCAAAATCCAAGATCAAAAGGAAGATTTTCCAAGTCAACTTCAAAGCAATTTTTCTTTGAAGAAGGTTGGTTTTCATTATTACTGACACCAGAACAAAGTTGAGATATCTCAACAATTGACTTTCTTTTAAAATATTTTTCCATATCTAAATACAAAGAAATAAAATTATATAAATACAAAGAAATAAATTAACTCACGAATTGAATTCTATAATAACTATGGAAATTCTAAAATTTCCAACTTAAAGTTTTTCAATCATCAACTTAAAGTCTGAAAGACTTAAACAATATATAAAAATAAAAGTCTCCTTAATTCTATCTATATTTCTATTTCTATTATGTACATATTATTTTTCTTCCAAACTTTGGGACCACAAAACAATCATTTACCTATCACAAAATATTGGAATCTAAAAACTTCCCCTTTTTTCCTAGAAGTTTTCTCAATAAAAAATTTAATGCACAATGCTATTATGCTAATACACACAAAT